GCAGTGCAGCCTGGCCCTGCTGTATCCTTGGTAGCAAAAGTACATTTCAGAACAAGGGTACCAGGAAGGTGGCTTGGGAATGCGCCCACTCTCAGAATCTCTTTGACAAGGGAATCACTTGCGATACTTGTCACTGTTTCATGTGCCTCCATTGTACCACCTCACTGGTTAGTGAAGCCGAGGCTATTTGTTCTGAACCATTACCAAGCTACATTTCAGTGCTTGATAATGCTCTGCAAAGCAATCACAGCACTGTTCCATCATGCCATGGATGATGGTTGAATCAACAGAAGACAGAATGCATTGATGCGCACACCAAGTGGATTCAGGACTGCCAGCGACTTGTATCAAAAGGAGGTGACAAGTTGAAATATGATGGATCAATTGTGTTCCCTGAGTACAGCCTTGTGGTTGATTCTCCCCTTGCTTCAAGTGGTGTTGTGGATCTACATGGTCTTGGTCCTGAAGATGGTCTCAAAGCAGTTCAACACTTTGTTGTTGGAAATGATCTGGCAAAGCAACTTGGAACTGCAGATACATCTCTGAATACTTTCCCCACTGATGGTTGGGATGAATGGAATAATGGTTGGGGGACAACAAAGCAAACTTGTTATCAATGATCACTTCATCACTACACATATGACGTTAAATACAGTGATGAGGAGTACAATGAGTGGGTCATTGACTTGATTGAGATTTATGATGCGCAGGCATTTGACAAAGACAATCCTAGTCCTGCAGAGCACACTCCTGAAACTCTGGAGCAGATGTATGGCTTTTCACTTGATGACAGACCTCCAGATTGCAATGTCACAATGATTGTTGGAAAGTATGGGCAACGGTTTGGAGGAAGGGCAAACCTTTTGCTCTGTCGCTTTTATGATTGGGTTCCACCACCACCACCAACAAGCACAGTCGATTCTTTGTTTGAGGACATCAGCAAGCTCACCCTTCATGACAACATTGAACGAATGAGAACAGGAGGATCAAATGGAATGTACACTGAACCAACAAAGGCATTATTTGCCATGCTTGACCACAAAACCATTTGTCCAAGACAATCTCGAGGCATGTTCATYGTACCATCACAGAAGAGGATTCAAGTGATTTACATGAATCAAAATGGTGATCTCAAGAAATGGTCTTATGCTGTGACCGTGTTTGGAGGGCAGGTTTCTGAGATTGATGATAGGGATCTGACAAGGCCACATACTTGAGAGTAGTTCCTTCCCCATTTGGAAGCAAGCCTGGAGGCAAGCTGCTTGCAGGCTACAACTGCCTCTGGACCCTCCATGCCATCAATGGAGTAAACAAGAGGTGCAAAGTGCTGGTGGGCCTGGTGATGATGGTCCTGATACTTGTCCTTCTTCTCTTGTTGTTCCTGATCCTTGAGGACACACAGTGGAGCCTTCTTTTCATAGGAGGAACACATCAGTATCAGTGATCCTGATGTCAAACACTGCAGTTTTTCCTTGCTTCCAAAATCTATGCACCAACACATTGCCTCTGAGCTCTCTTGTTGGTTGTGGAGGAGTGTTGCGTTGGCACTGGTTCCAAGCTGGTGGTGGCTGATAGATGGGGATTTGTGGTTCATCAGTCACACTGCTTGGAGTTAAGGCCTTGGCACAGAACTGGTGCCTTTTGCCTGCAATGTTGTTGTGATGGTGCAGGATGAGCCCTCCCTTTCAGCAGGACATGGTGTCTTCAACTGTGAAGCTTGCACGGCATCTGTCACACCTCTTGGGGAGGTGTGGCAGGCAACGTCCAAATCTCAGTTGTAGGTTGTCCCAAAATATCTTTAGCTGACAAAACAGTCCCATTGAGGATATGGGGTGTAGCAGTCAGCCATGCACCAGTGGCTTGTCCCATGTGGATGCTTTGGCTGACAGATGGAGACCGTGTCGCACGCACCAACGGACATGATGTCAAAATGTTCCTGGGCTTTGGCCTGTGGATCCAGTACGCCCAGGCCCACAAATTTCACTGGGAATGCCAGTAAATCTCAGAGATCAGCGGTGGTTTTGAAAGTATTGCCAAGTAGTACAAGCAAGAAGTCCTTGACAAGAGCCTTTTTGACTGGTGCAAAAGAATCAGCCACATCAGGAACCACTTGTTGCTGGAGGTAGGTTCATTCAGCCTGCAACAAATTTTCTTAAAACTGCAAGAGCGACTTGTGGGTATCATTGAGCTGTGCCTGCAAAAAGAAATATGCTTTTGATCCATTTGTCAATCTGGGGTTGGAGGCAATCTTCCCTGGCTGATACTGTGCAGGTATTTGACCATAATGCAACAAAAAATGCAACAGTAGGAAATCATGTACAATTCTACACAAGTATACATTGTACTGATTCCTACTCCCGGCATCTACCATCCCAATATGGTACAGTAGTAAGACAAAAAAATCTGCTAAGTCAGTTGAGCAGAATTATTTCCATCATCAAGCATAACAAGGCAATTTCCCTAATAAACAGACAAATGATGGAGGTAATTCTTGACAATAACAGAAATGTATTAATGACATGATTCTAAGATCTTAGAGGCGGGGGAGGACAAGTAATTACTACTAGCAGCTAATACCACAGCAACTTGTATCAGCGGACACTGTATCAGTGAGCCTCTGTATCAGTGGACACCATATCAGTGAGCCTCTGTATCAGTGGACACCATATCAGTGAGCCTCTGCATCAGCAAGCCTCTGTATCAGCATCCTCTGTATCAGGGAATAGTATCACCGTCCCCTCCGTATCATCAAATAGTATCACCGGCTCCTCTGTATCAGCATCCCCTGTATCACCAGCCTATCAGCGGATGCGGTATCAGCAGCGAGCCTCCGTAACAGTGGACACCGTAGAATCAGCACCAGACACTAGAAGCGGAAGCCTCCATATCAGCGGACGCCATATGAGTGGACACGTATCAGCAGCGAGCCTCTGTGTCAGTGGATACCATATCAGCAGCAAGCCTCTGCATCAGGGGAAGCCTCCGTATCAGCATCTCTGTATCAGTGAGCCTCCATATCAGCAGCTCCTCCATGTCCTTTTTTGAAGGAAATAGTTATGGAAATGATGTGCTAGTTTGCATCTCCATAATGATTTGCATTATGACCAATTTTTGTTGTATTATTGCATTCTGCTGCAGTATTCAACAGTTGAGAATGCAACTAAAAAGTTACTGAATGGTTGGTGGTGAGCAAGAAAAAGAAGTACCATAGACTGTACTAGAAATCTACTGTAGAAAAAATAAGCAACAATGCGGTCTCAAAAATAGGAGTATGGTTGTAAGTATGGCTATTTGAGGTCATAGGGTTATATAGTAGGAATTTTTGTTGCCTTTGAGGACAAGGCAATAATGAGAATGTAATTTTAGTTGCATTTTGTGAACGCTGTAGACGTTAAAAACGCGCTTAGTAGGATGTGAAAACAGTAAAAAAAGGCTCCTTTGGTACCTTCTCAGTAGGGGTTGCACTTGTTCCTGAGCTGAGTAGAGCTACTAGTAAGTACAATTCCAGTGCTGGCAAGTTTTTGGCAATCCCTGTACAAATACTTATAGAAATTTTTAGCTCATTTTTACAGTTAAAAACAGTTAAAATAGGCATCATCCAACAGACAAAAATAAAAATATTTCCATTGTTTAATTTCTCGCTAGTCCCAAAGTATTTCTATTAGTAGTCCTTACTACTGGGGATAAGCACTGATTTTATAGTCCTTACTAGACGCCTAATAGAAATATTTTAGGAGTAGCAGCAGTTAAATAAAGACAGGAAAATAAGATTTTTTTTGCCTTCAACTTCCCAACACTGGAATAGCTCCAGAGCTGAGGAGTCGAAAATTCAGCTCCTCGATCTTTTTCCATGGGGGGGTTCGTAGTACTTTTCGACTTCGTTTCGTTTTCGGCGCGAAATTCTTCTTAGACGATTGATTTAGGAATGTAAACGCGCGAAATCTCACGAACGTAATCAATCAAAACTCACATTTCTCCATGTACCGGTACATAATCGTCCGGACGCACGACGCGACGGTACATACCTACAGTGCTCGTACGTTCGTACGTACTGTACTGTATTTCGGATTTTTAACCACGGGACTGAAGAAAAAAATCTGACCCTAAATGCGATAGGAACGTAAATGTTGCTACAGTATCGGTACGTTGCGCAAGTCATTTTTATTTCTCACATGAAAAATATAGGATGGATTTGAATTTCTTTCATAATATTTTCGGAATATATATATTATTATAAATGAATATAATTGAATATTCTTGCTCACTTTTCTTGGAAGCAATCTTGTGTATTCGTATCGCGCACCTTCCTCTTTTTAAAAATTCGAACTAAAAAGTTGAAGGAAAAAATTTACTGTACTGTTCGATATGGTACGTACCGGTACGAGTACGACAGCTAGAAGAAACCATGAACCAAAGGACCATGTTATCATTGTTCAGCACAAGGAGCAGGGATACAATAGTACGTGCAGTACGGTTTCCAACCCGCTCAGTTGCTACTACTGGGTTACTCTTCTCGCGATTGGCTTCAACTACGCACCGAGATCACGAACAACACAAATGTTGTTGCAACACCGTCAGCCCCAAGTGGAAGGAAGAAGCACAGCTACTAGATTTGTAGTTTATTTCCTTACGGCATGCAGCGCCGGCCTGTTGTTCAATAGCTGGCGGTTGGAAAGGTTTCGCATCGAATCATTGGTTCGCAATGCCGCTAGCAAAATCTCGAGTAGTCGCGCTTTGCCGGAAGAAAATCACAACCAAGACATAGTTGGCGGTGAAGTGGGAGGTGGAAATGGTTCAGAATTGTATGTTCCCTCATTGGACTACCGAATCAAAGGCATTTCTCAATATAGTAGCAAACTTTCGAAAGAGATCAACTTTGATGCACACGTGTATTGCAAAGAATTCGAAAATGATCTTATTTGGGAATGGTGGCAACCATCGAAAGAGAACGCGAAGCCAGAACAGATCCGACACCTCCGGAAGGAAGACAAAAAACACGTCGAAAAGACGACCAAAAAGCGTAACACTCGAAAGCGACTACTTATAGGGGTTTCAGGTGGATACGACAAGTATTCGAAGTTGCTGGAACGCGCAGTGTGGAGCGCTCGTGTTTATGCAGCTTTGTGGTCGGGAGGTTCAAGCAAAAAAAATAATAGTGACATTGTGAGGGATACAGATGTTACTGTGGTGACGCTGCAGGGAACAGCATTTTCTCCACACGGATGCAAAGCTCCCTCAGCGCACTCGAGCATTAACAAAATACGACTTCTGTTCGAAGCAATTGACGCTGGAAATCAATATGACCAAATGCTGTTGTTGGACCCCGATACGATGATTTACGACATGGAAACGGACCTGACCACACTAATTGGCGACAAAGAAGACTTCGTGGTTGCAGGACCTGCGATTCTAACAGAAGAGGGAAAAAAAGACAAGTACATGCCATGGAAAATCACTTCGGGAATTACGTTGTGGAACTTAGAGCACCCTTCGACAAAGGCCGTGGCCTTGGATTGGTTTCGTTATGCCAAAAATGCGATCATCCGGGAAACGTATCAAAGCGATCAAAAATACCTGCTCAAGGCATTAAAAAATTACTACAATACCAACAGCAAAGGTGTTGTAGCCAGGAGCAGCGACAGGGAGGGCATTGTGAAGTCATTGATGAACCACCAATTTGATGACGGCATTGGGGGGAGATTTGTCAAGCAATTTCGAGTTCAGAAGAAGGCCAAAAATCCTCACGACAAGCAAGTGGAGGCGCGATTAGCACGGATGGAAGAAACGGCTGGACTGATCTGTGAGCACTATCCAGATGCCTGTGATCGAGTGGGCAAACCACCCCGGTACGAATCGTCCTAGAAGTCCCCTTGCGGCTTGCGGAAGCACTGTCTCGTGTCAACACCAATGCGGTGTTGGCTCGTACGACCCATGGCAGGTATACAAAACCTGCTGCAAATCATGCCCCGACGTGAACCGAGAAAGGTATCCACGTGCTTCCTAGTGTATCTAGAGCACTTTAGATCACGTCATATCAGGCAAGAGCATTAGATTTCTCGAGAATGTTTCCCCGGCAACCAAATGCGACCGAAAGCAATCCACCTATTTCAATGGTTGGTTCAATTTACATTCTGCTTAAAATTACCCCGAAACTCTGCAGTCGAGTGGCTATCAATTTTTGCTTACGAGAAAGCTCTACTTCTAACAGAAATCCAGTGCATGGGTTCGATCAATACAAAATTTGTAGGCAAACCTCGCCTTTCTTGTGCTATTAGTTGTAAAGAAATTAAAACATATACAATTTGTATGGTTTCTCTCAAACTTTTTTGAAATCTTAGGGAGCCACAATAATCCTATTGGTTCGTTATAATCGAAACCCCTTGATGGACGCCGAGGAAGACATCCAAGTCAATTCGTTCGACGCGGGATGCATTTGTGGAGAAGTTGTAGGCGTAGTACCAAGCCTTTCCCCTATTTTCTTCTCGTCGGTATAGTTCTCTTGTTGCTGCCGCAGAGGACTTCTCTGGAACCGAATCGTGACGAGAGATTGGACCCGCGAAGATGACCTCGATTGGTAATGTCGTTGCAATAATGGGAATCTCTTGCGCGGAATCCACGATTTCAAAGAGGTGAGATTGACATGGATTCCTAGCAAAGGAGGATCGTTCTCTTGCACCAGAGCATTCGAAGTGCAACCTGACTGCGCGTGTCTCTCGGTGGTCGCGGGAACGTCGTCGGCATTTGTCGGAGCGACCCCAGAATCGGGAGTTTTGAATCCCGCCGTAAAGTACAACCGGAAGGATGGACTCGTCGCCTTCGGCAATGATTGCAGTACCGATTCTTCGTTCCCTCTTCCGGGCTGGTTCATGAGAGCAGAGATAAGCTTTCGTGCCAAAGTCGCTTCCATCCTTTCCGCCTTTTCGTGCGATAGTCCTTTGGGCTCGATGTCATTGCAGTTGCTGTCTCGGTCATCATCAATGATTGAATCGAAATCCAAGAGATAAAGCTCCTCACTTCGTTCGTAGGAAGGTCCCAAAGAAATCAGGAGGTATCTTGGTGATTTGACGCGATGAGGACTTGCCCTGCTGTACATCTCGTCGCTGCAATTCTTTTTGAAATGAGCCAAAAATGCGTACCAATTATCACACAATCGTGTGATGTGAGCCATCGCTTGTTTCTGTTTCCTTCGCAAGGAAGGGCTTACCCTATTGTTTTTGCTGATTCGTCGTCGTTTTCCATCTGTTGTGGTATCCACGCTATTGCCAGCGTGGATTTGAAGCCCATTATTCTCAATTTGTTGCTCTTGTTGTTGTACCAACATCAACTGAGGAACAGACATTGGCCATAAACCCCGTGCGTAAAGCAAATGCCTGGCCAACACAACAGGTGCCATTTGCATGAGATAATCTGTAGGAAGCGCCGACGGAACGGAAAAAGGAATAACCAGAGGCCGTACGTCGGAGTCATGATGATTCGGGCGCGATGGAATTTGTTGTTTTCGAAAGGACGACGGAGTCTTTCCACCAGTCGTCGAACGGGTCGCTGCCAACAATGTGCTGGTTCTTCCGGGTCGTGTGCGCCGACGATACTCCCTACGTTTGTCAAGGGTCGAGGCAGAGGACTGTTTGCATGTTTCTTGTTCCATTTTTGTGGATTGCTGATATCTTGTGGATAGAAGAAAACATTGTGAAACGAATAACATTCTCAACCTGGCGCGTTTCGAAAATTTTAAATTTTTTCGGTCAACAATTGATCTTCATCGTATGTACCTGTAGGACGTCGTCACTCTCTGGCTTCAAACGGATTTGGATCATTCCCCAAAACTGACAATTGGCTCGCAAAAACCAAGTTAGTGCCAGAAAGGTGGAAAGCACTGTTCTTAAAACAATTTAGAAGCTAATCAATGAAAGAATTGTGGCTATTTGTTGGCTGTTTCTGAAATAGGAATGGAATTTATTGATTTGTTGTGTACTATGCTGGGTAGTAGTAGTAGTCTTGTGATGTGATGTTGTGCATTGTTCTTGGTGGTGATGTTTCTTTTTGTAAGAAGGAGGAGAAGAGGTTGTGTTCTCCTTAGTACAAACAGACCAGTGGAAATTCCAGTAAACTCTTGAAAGCACAACAAAAATCCAATTGCTTCTTGTCCAAGACCAGGTTGAACCATTTTCCAAAGATCTTCCCTGTAATTTGTGAAATATAGTTGTTCTTGTCGTATTGACGATATTAATTCTTGAGAATTAAATTAAAAGTACTATTCCCTTGTGACTTCTTGTTTGAGTTCAATGGGTAATTTTCATTCATGTTGTTGTTGGCCACATCAAAAATCTAGCTGTTGCTGCAGTGTTTTGAGAAGTTAAAGTAATCATATTTTTGAGTCCTGTCTTTCTTCAAGGACCACTTCTAGGTAGTATCCATTCAACCTTCTCATCATCCTCTACACCACATCAAAAAGAAAACCTCCTTCAATGCTGATAAGAATTTTAAAATCCTGGTGGTACCCATTTTTCAATTTGATAGACTTGAATGTGCACATGGCTCCATTTTCTTTTGATTTTTTGACATCTATGCTGCTCTTGTCATCAATCATGACAGGTCTAAGAACATACAATTGAAGCATTGGATCCACAACTATCATTGGTTCCACCTGCAACAATGTCAGTATCTCATGTGTTAGTCTTTGTTCATACATACTCCAAAAAGAGACAACAATACTTTAAATGATCATTCCATCATATTTTTGTACATCTTCTATCCTACTGCACTCATGATCCMCTGGAATCCTATCCCTTATAGCAACTAGCAGATGCATCCTTCCCACAGCAAGAAGTGATGGTTTTACCTTCCCTGATGTCTCTGGTGCTACTAATTCACAAAATTAGTTTTTTACTTTTTTAAATTAGTAGTAAGAACATTAACATTAGTATGCAATGCTCATAGTACTATGTTTTTGGGCTAGTCTCCTTGGAAGGGGGTTCAACCACTTCTATTTTGCATAGCTTGTTGTGACAGAGTTTATCAACTCTTGCAAATGGGATTCTCTTTCATGTAAAATTAACCAGATTGCTACTACTTCTAGTACTTTAAATCTTGTATCAACTTAAAATTAATGTAGTAGCTACTAGTACTTCTCCTGATTAACAACAATGTAGCATGAAGAACTTCTGTCAAATCTGGTGATTACTATTGGTCTTGTGCCACTTTATTGAGAAGCTGGTGGAACACTTTTGAACTGGTTCCCTTAATTTTCAACAACATTCTATCTGTCAGTTTTTATAGTCCAAACAAATACAAATGCGTTTTCTATTGGTATGGTAAGAAACCCAAGTCAGGAGCATTATCAGAACAGACGAGAACGATTGCAGATTTTCTCGTTAATCAGCTGTGACTTGCGCATGCATTCTCGGTTGTTTTGGAACCAGGTTGTCTGCAAGCAAGGAGAGAAAATAGTCATCGAGACCGCGTTGGTTCCAGTGTTTGTAGAGGAATTCTTTCAACAGGCTAGAATGCGGCAGTCCCATTACAGTGCTGCGAAATTATTGCCGCCTAGATTAGATTTCGGACTGACTGAAATGCAAAACAACCTTGTTCAGGGTCGTCTTCTGCCACGAATTTTCAATAGATGTCGAGCTAAGGGGAGACAAATCATCAACTTCAGTGGCAGCACAAATGAGTCGAGCGCACCTGCTATACCAAGGTACGTTCCCTCCCGGACCCAATTTATTGAAGGCTGGTGAGGTTTCATGTCAGCGCTATCACTATCAACCCCCTCTCCAGAAGCTGGTGGCGATTCCCCGAGTTTCGCCTTGACACCCTGCACGAACTCCGAATCGGCCCCTAAGGCCTTTTCGAGAGGAAGAACTACATCAACCCCAGACCTCAAACCAAGATATATGCTTGTCACCGAAAGAGCTGTGACGCCGACATATGAAATGACACCAGCTGTCCCGTATTGTTTCAGAAACTTCTTGGCCGAAAACGACATTTGCGTGATTTGAAATTGATTGATGGTCAACCGATATTTGGCATACGAAGTCGACGAGGACTAGCGATGACCACGGTTCGTATTTTTTGTGCTTTCGGAGTTTGAAGTGGGCGGCTGACCTTAAAAGACAGTCTCTCTTCGTCGCAAACGCCGTCGTTCACTTCTAATGCTACGAGTGATTTGGGCTTCAACCAGCCAGAGGTGAGTGAACTACCGTAAGGATTTCTAATTATCCTACCTCCTATGGAGCTGAATTAAAAAGGATACGAGTGGGTCTCGTCATTTTTTAGGACATTCGGTCATTCCCGTTAGTCTAGATGGTCTAAAATTCTAAATGGTCTAGTTTAGACTTTTTAGTTTAACGGGAATCATTAAAAACAGGGTCCCAACGGACAGTTCTTTAGGCCCTCCTCTTCTACTTTAATGGAATCCGGAATCTCAACAGAAATGACTAAGACTGGATTCAAAACTCACGCAACCAATTTTTATTGGATAATAATGAGTCATGCGACGGATTTTCATTCTTGGATTCTGGTCTAGATTTAGACTTTCTGTAAGGCCGACGAATACTCGGGCGCGTTGCGCATCAATTGAAATTGAAATTACGTTTCACAGGGCATTCCGAATGTGAACTTAACAATCCAAATGTAGAAATGAGTACAGTACCAAGTACTGTGGTTTTTGCTTCAATTTAACATCCTAGTAAATGCTCTGCTTAAGAGTCTGAATGTTAACAGGGTAGGCATCCTCTTCTTCCTCTTTTTTAGGAAACAAGACCAAAATTATTATCTTTTGGATGCTGGCATGCTACCAAATGAAAAAAGAGGATAATACTAGGATCTACATAGGCCAACAGAAATTTACTACTAAGGAGATTCTGAAGAATGTTGAATTAAGATTCCGTGATACTTTAAGAAGTTAACATTCCTCTGTATGTTGAATTAACATTGGGAACCTTAATTCTAACATTTTGAATGCCCTGTGAAACATAATTTCAATTGATGTGCAGCACCTACTACTAGTAAAAAGCGGAAGAATATGAGTAGTAGTATGAGAGTACAGTACTACTATGTACATCACCGTTAAGTAGTAGTACTAGCATTGAAATCACATGTATAGTAATACATTACAAAAAAAATAACACTACTAAACACTAGTTATTTCTTGCTGAAGTATACGCACCTCAAGCTGGTTACAAAGTGCACAGGTTGAATTTTGTAACCAGAACTTGAAACCAAACCCTTTGCTATCATATAGACGAGCTGGCTACGAAATGATGTACACACCAGTCCTAGGTTTTGTGCCCTTATTTTGCGTATAATGACTACTTTGACTAAAAAACTGAATCGCACTACTACCAGTATAGCAGGGCAAATGGGAGCAAAACAATTTGGTTGCACGAATGTGACAATAAAAAATTCAGCATGTGCCCCGCTGGCTGTACTGGTAGTACAAGAAGTCAATTACACAGTAGTAATAATTAGATGGCCCAAAATCAATGCACAGTAGAAAAACGCATAGAACATTAGGAGAGGTTCAACTCACGCTAACTGCTGTAATTTTGTCCCCGACAGATGCTGAAGTATAGTAAGCACATGAATCAAAAGCCATTTTTAAGAGCTTTCTAATGTTATGGGGTAGTTGGGGGGGGGGGGTCATTGTAGTGGAACATATCGATATACCTGTATGAAGCAATATAGGATTAAAACTGTACAAATGGTTTGGCCAGAATCACTCTGTCAAGCCTCTACAACAGACAAGCCCATATGTTCTACACAATACTAGTACTAGTAGTTTGGTTAAAAAAAGTGGGTCTGGTTACAAAATAGTGTATGGTGCCCTTCTTGTGTGCACTTGTAACCAGGCGCATGTTGTACCTCAACAGATATACTGTTGCTAAGTACTCCACTGCACAAAAAAAGAACACAAATTGGGAACAAAGTACAATCTCATGTAGAAAATACAGTAGAAATCACACTATCTTACATTTTAGCAACTTGTATTGCAAAAGTGGCTCCTCTGTAATGTATCAGTGACTTGTATCAGCAACGTGTATCAGCATCCTCCATATCAGCTCCTCTATATCATATCAGTGCCCTCCACATCAGCTCCTCTGTATTGTATCAGTGTCCTCTGTATTAGCAAGGTGTATCAGCAATGCACATCATCCTCCATATCAGACCACTGCTGCAACTATGATTGTGCTCTTCTAATGCAGTAACCTTGTATTGCATGGATACATGTAATTTTGGTGCTGCCCAAGCTATTACAAAAATAACTTGTGGCATTGCATCAGTCCCATGTTACAAGTATCTTAAACACTAACAAGCTCTAAAGCTAAAG